CTGGAACAGTCCTGCGACGAAAGCCGCAGCAATTTCTTCCAGAGTGTATCTGAGCATCTCGGTGCTCAGGAAGTGTTCGCTGCTATCAAGTCAACGTGGCCACATGCCGCCTCCCAAGGCTTCGATGCGTCACTTGAGCAGCTTGAGCTTTTGCGCGCGACTGTCAACAATCAGACCAAGGCTAAGCTTGTCAAAGCCAGTCCGCCGCTCTTCACTCTACTTCTGCAAACCTTCCGACTACGTGAGACGGTCCAATCTACTACCGTCGAAGTTGATGAGGAGGAGCTGGAGCAGCTGGAGCTTACGCTTATCGACTCCGTCATATCTATGGTACTGAAGCTCAGCGATGCTACATTCCGACCGTTCTTCGTTCAGCTTGTGGACCAAGAGGGCCCAATGTCGAGTAAACCTCAACAGGCCGTCACCTTTTACAAGTTCCTCGGCGCCTTCTTCGACAAGTTCAAGGTACGCCTTGCTCTATCATTCCGTATCAACATGTCACTAACACACAACTAGTCTCTCGTAACAAGCTATTCGAGCTACATCATCGAGCATGCCGCGAAGCTGCTGACTGAACTTGCTAAAGAAGACTCTGATGTTACCACACGCAGGGCTGTGCTTGACGCTCTCCAGAAGACATTCCAGCACGATCAAGACGGCTTCTGGCAAGCACCATCTCACTTTGGCACCATTATGCCGCCCCTGCTGTCTTTGCTCAGCCTACCATCCGCATCGACATCTACACCAGAGGACAACACCAACAACGTCATTCCTACCATCACCGAACTTGCTGTTGCATCTGCATCATCCATGGAGAACCATCGCGAGATGAACAGCATATTGCTGAAGAACATGAGGAGCGACGACAGGAACACTAGGTTAGCGACAGTGCTGTGTGAGCAGAGCTTGACGAGGAGATTAGGAGAAGAGTGGCTGGGTCTACTTCCTGAGATGCTGCCGTTCATCAGTGAGCTCATGGAAGATGACGATGAGATGGTCGAGAGGGAGTGCCAGAGGTGGAAGAATGGTATGGAGGAGATTTTGGGAGAGAGTTTGGAAGGCATGCTACAGTAGTTAGTTGTTGCATGTGCTCGGTATAGATTAGCGGCTCGATATATATATGGGCAAATACATGCACTCATCTGCTTATCACATCCATTGCTCTTAGTTCCTCGTCTCATGTTGTTTTGCTACATCATCCATCACATGTCATTCTTAACATTCACCACTATCAACGAATGCTTTCACTCGTATATCGGGCAGATGTCACCAGTTTGCCCCAGAAGACCGCTGACGAGGTCAGTGCGGCTACCGTGTGCTCTTCGCTGGGGCCTGGATAACGGGCACTCCCCTTCCGCATATAAATGACGGGTCCATCTCCCTATACTGCACCTGATTTCACGTTACCTTGCATACCGCGTATCACACTCGCGGGAATACTCCATTGACTTCCGGCAACGTTTGCCCACCATCTCCCTTGCATCTCAAGCCAGATCGACAGCGGCTATGAAACCCGCTTCAGTAATGTCGCAGTCATCTAGCAAGAAGCGCAAGGCCGAAGAAGCGAACCCGGTCTCCAAGAGCGGCTCTGATATGGCGCAGCGCAGCGATCCATCCTTGACAGCTCCTACCAGCGACTATCTCCTTCCGAGCGGGCACACAGACGTCCAGAAGACGCCGGCAAAGCGTCTGAAGACCACCCATGCGAAGCGCAATGTAAGCCCAGGTCCTGCCGCGAGCACCACGAATCGCACTATAGCCTCTAGTCGTGTATCGGCTACTGGCGCAGTGCAAGTCGCAATGAACGATACGCCTACACACAGCTCCATGACACCGTCGACAAAATTGAGGGCCGCGAAGACCAAGGTTCACGACAGCGCTGTGTTAGGTGCTGAAGACGTGTACATCATGGAGACGGAAGACGACACTGCTTCAGAGGAAGAGCCTTCTACTTCGGAGGAGGAGTCTTATGCTTCAGAGGAGGAGTCTTATGCTTCAGAGGAAGAGAAGGATGGTGTAGAGGAAGAAGACGACGACGCGGTGGTTTCAGAACAACTACGCGCTAAAGCGACCGGTAAGAGCTCATCTCATCTTTGCCATGGGCGTTTCCAGCTGACAAACATAGTCTTCAATCCACTACCTCGCCCAGCGATTACACCGTGGGACTACGGTTTCCCAGCGCCGACGCCCCACTATCACGACCAATCCAGTTGTCCAGTCGATTGGAGTAAAGTCGTTATCGATTCCAAAGTTTCCAAAAGATGCGAAAAGGCCTATGAGCTACGTAGGCCATGGCAACAGGAGCCAGTCGCTTGGGACAAGATGGCAGAACTGGGCAATGTCAGTGCAGAGGGCGTACGTAAGCGCTTCGCGTCAGCCAATAAGGCAGTCTTTGAGCTCACGGGAGTTTACTTCGCCACGAGCCCCCTTGGGCTTGCCGAGTACGACATCCCCTTGTACGCAGAGTTGAAGCACTTCCTTCCAGATACAAGCGAAGCGTCTCCGGTTCTGGGCAAAGAACCTATCGTTAACCCATTGCTCTACGACGGCGAGGCTGTTCAGCTTGTGGTATTTCCGCCTGGGCAAGATGGTGGCGTCAATCGCTGGGTAACGCAAGAGGTCATGGACCGGCTGCTGATCAACGACCAACACTTTCTTGAGTACTCTCTCGATAATTTCGATCGGTGGTACACTTCGGTTTTTCTAGGTCCTCGTCACACTTTCCCGAGACGCATATACCGCCTGGAGCCATACGATGACACAAGCTTCATTCACCGCGATAACGGCACACCATCCATCGCGATGAGCGATTTGTTCGAGACGTACCGGCTCTCCCAAGCGATGGGGACTACGGAGGTCAGCGATATGATCCTTGACGAAATTGTCTTGTCTTTCAAGCAAGAAATCGAGCTTGTCAAAGAGCATGCAGAGGGGAAAGTTACCATGCAGGATTGCGACAACACCATCCAGTTCATGAGCTTCAGAATTGACGACGTCAACTTACTTTGGGAGCACACCAAGGCCAATGATAAGATCCGTATGGTAGTGCTCGAGTCATTGTTTGACCAAGTTGAGCTGTTACGAGATAAGGTGGAAAAGCAAAAGCGTCATCTGAACAGGGATTTCGTGATAGACTGGTGCTTCCACACCATTCTCTTAATGATGGCCGGGCCTTGCGACATTGTCCAGAGGTTCAGACGGGGCGAGGGAAATCTCCAAGATTTCTGCGCCCGGTACCACGATCATGGGAACTCTAAGTCTGAGTGTTTCCGCGCCAAACCTGAGTCCTCCAAACTCATTCCCGAGGAGACCGACGAACCCAGGATCATCAAAGTTCGCTTCGGTACTGTGGATCTGGAGATCGAGGATCGCGCTAGCTATGCCGGGGTCATCTTCCGCTTTGAGCGTCTAGTAGAGGACAAATCGGAGTGGGACTGGCTGCGCATACGCTCCATCGCCACATTCGTTGAAGGCCCTCTAGTCCCTGATGCTCGCCGCAGGAAGTGGCACCTGGAGCCGATCTATTATGAGCTGGATACCATCGATGCCCATGGCCGATACCCTTGCCATCCAGGTTATCAGAACCAGGATTGGACACATCCGGTTGGAGAGCCAGATGTCTACGACGAGCCATGGGGGAAGGTCATCAGGCGCGAAGTCCCCGCGGGCGCGACCAAGTACCGCGAGACCAAGATACCCGCTGGCAAGGACGAGCATGGGAAGATAATTTTCAAGGTGACAGAAGTCTTCTTTGAGATTGAAGACCCGCGTTGGTACCCTCCTAATGACTGGAATGCGGACATGGACCCTTGCGATTTTTGGCCCCAGGAGCTCAGGGAGTATCGGAGGTGGCTCTGGGTTGAAGAAGGAGGGACGATCCCGCGGATTGAGGTTCAGCGGTTTCGACCTTATGAAGACGACACTCGTCATTGGAAAGAGCCTTTTGTGGATCGGATGAACAAGTTGAGCGTTTTTGACATCCTTAATTGATGTCTCGCCTGCCATTTCGTCAAGATCCTGTATTGCTCGACATAATGGTAACCCAAATCAGTGTCAGCTTGTCCAAACCAATGGAACGGAATGTTGCTCTGTGCCACTAGGAGATGAATACAACATTGACTGTAGTTGAGTGCCTCGTCACTAGTTGGACTATCAGAAGCCTGTGATGTTATCGTGCGGTAGATGCATGATTGGGTAGACCCTGGTCGCTCAATATGCGAGTGCACTGTACACCACTCCCTCGAATGGCCCAACGTCCCAGAATCCACTGTACTGGAACCTTTAGAAGGGAGTTGTCTTGGACGAGACTGCTTGGGTCCCGGCACTTGTGCGCCCCACATAGATGACTGCACAGGTCTCTCCATAGATATTCATCTGGTCTGAACGACGGTCGTCCTGTTGACTGGTCTGCAAAAGAAATCTGCTCCGCCGTCTAATCATCATGAAAAACTCGATCCTCGTAGCGGCCACGCTCATCAGTGCGGCGCTAGGTCAAAATGTCAGTCGCGGCGCTGCGATGATGCGCTTCGCATGTTCTCAACTCACCGTCGAGCGGCTAGACCCCTTGGTCAACCCTGGAGTCGTTGGAAGTCCGCATACGCACCAAATCGTCGGAGGGAACAGCTTTCAGGCTGAAATGAAGCCTGTGGAGTATGATCTGGTCGAGAAGAGTACTTGTACTACGTGTACTTTCAGCGAAGACTTCAGGTATGCCATGAGGCGCCTAGCTGTAGCGGAGTCATAGCTGACGGAACTTAGCAACTACTGGACTGCAGCGTTGTACTACCGCGCCTCTCAAAATGGCACCTACAAACGTGTCCAACAGTTCCCCAATCTTGGGCTAAACCAGAGAGGCGGTATGACAGTGTACTACATACCTCCATATGATGGCTTCAGCAACGTGACTGCGTTCAGACCCGTTCGTCCTCCACTCTTGAGGGCGAGAGACTTCGCTTTCCTTCCAATGAGCGGTGTTGCTGACTTCTCATTAGGGTTTTCGCATGCTCGCTGGTAACCCAATTCTTCGCAATACCACTGGCGAGTCCCGCGGTATCTGCCATCGCTGCATTTACAAGGACTCACAGCCCTTTGGTGGCGCTCCGTGTACAGGAGAAGATACAACATTCCTCCCCAACCGCATGTGCGAAGGTGGCATTCGTACCCAAGTCACCTTCCCTACATGCTGGGACGGCGTCAACCTCGACTCGCCAGATCACCAGAGCCACGTCGCATATGCAGAGATCCCGTATGAGCCATACTTCCCGCCCATGGCTACATTTCCGTATACACCCGAGCAGCAGAGGGGCAAGTGTCCAGAGGGCTATCCCGTGCAGCTTCCGCAAATCATGTATGAGGTCATGTTCGACACGACCCCATTCAATACTCCTGAGCTGTGGGGCGAGGAGGGGACGCAGCCATTTGTGTTCAGTATGGGCGATGCGTGAGACCCCCTCTTCCCGTTGGAACGCGTGAAGGACCGTAATCATGCTAACGACTGATTGTAGGACCGGCCATGGTAACCATGGTGATTATATGTTCGGTTGGAAGGGCGATGCGCTGCAACGAGCGCTGGACGCACGGTGCAGTAACGATCAATGTAGCGAGTTGGCTAGGCAGAGCGACGAAGACGCGATGAAGTGCAGTATTCCGCAGACGGTGGTTGAGGATGTCGACGGATCTGAGACATGTAAGCGCAGCACTAGACACCCAAGGCACTGTGCTAACTTACTGAGCAGGGCTGAAGAGCTTACCGGGTGGAGTGCAGATCAACGATGGCATGTAGAGGTCCTGTTGGCATTGAGCCAGGTGGTGTGGTAGGTGTCGAGATTCCAGTGGCACATGGAGCGACTATGTAGGCTGGCCACTGATGTGGCTACGCTCCTTCAGCTCCTTGACTGATGACAAAATAAATCCTTCTTCCTCAAGATACCAGACGAGCCAGAATCCTCGATGAAGATACGTTGTTCGCGTTGCTGGCGTCGTGAAGAGCGCTGAACAGCATGATCGGTTTAACGATGGCTGCAAGGCCTGGGCGAGGAAGACAGAGGAGGTATCGTGTGTGACAAAACACAGAGAGGATATAGCATTATTGAATCCGTGGGCAGCGGAGTAACGCGACGCGACGTGTATCCATGGATGACGCAGGTACGCGATTTGACCTAACCGAAAAGATGTTAGCTCGCGTGCCGGCTCAGTCTTCCAAATCTACGCGCACCTCAACCTCCTTACCCAGGAGCCTCTAACGAATTGGCGTTGTAATACTCAACTCCTCAAAGATCAAATACATAATCTGGCTTTACGCAGTAAGTCACTTGCAACAATCACACTCCCCCAAACGCGCAGTTGTTCGAGAAGCTCAAGTAAACATTGATGGTGTTGCGGCTTATGTGCAGGCTCAAGCTATCTACAAGACGACCTTGTTGGGCGCTTCCTGCTCCTCTGGCTCATCAAAGATGTTGATGCTCCATCTAGGCTTGTTCGCCGTGTAGGGAACATTGTACCTTCTCCTTCCCTGGTGCTCATCCGAGAATTTGGTAATAGCCTTGATGTCTTCGTCCTCCAGCTCGATCTCCTTGAAGTTCTCAGCAATGCGCGACGGAGTAACAGACTTGGGAATGACAGAGTGGCCGCCGACTTGAGACCATGCCAGGATGACCTGCGCTGGTGTGGCGCCCTTCTTCTCCGCAATTGCTTTGATCTCAGGGCGGTGGATGAGCAGTGGGATGTCGAAGAAGTTGTTGCCAAAGGCGGAGTAGGCGGTAATGTGGATGTTCTTCTCCTTGGCGTAAGCGACGAGCTCCTTGCTGGGGAGGATAGGGTGACGCTCGATTTGGTTGACGGCGGGCACGAGGCCAGTCTTCTCAACCAAAGCCTTCAAGGTCTGGTATGTGAAGTTGGAGACGCCGACCGAGCGTACCTTGCTCTTTGGCAGCTTGTTCATGGCCGTCCATGTCTCGCTGTTAGGGATGGAGTTGTCGATGTTAACCTCATTGGGGTCAGAAGTCATGGGAAAGAGATCTGAGTGAGGGTCCTTTCCAGGCCCGAAGTTGACAGGCCAGTGGATAAGGTACAGATCGAGATACTCCAGCTCAAGTTCAGCGAGAGTGTCATCGAGAGCTGCCTCTACAGTGGCAGGATCATGCTGAGAGTTCCACAGTTTTCCCGTGATGAAGATGTCCTCACGCTTCAGACCTGGGATGTCCTTGTATGCGCGCTTGATGCCTTCCGCGACTTCCTTCTGGTTCTCGTAGCTGTGATTGGTGGAATATCTCGTCAGCTTGTGTTCTTGGGGATTGTAGTGGGGTATGGTCATAGCTTCCTAAGCTTCCATCTCCACTGAGGGGCATTGCAGTTGGACTTCCAACAATGCTGACGGAAAATTGTTCCACGTCAGGTGGAGGCAAGGCCGAAGTGAGATGGGCGAGGACGGCATTGTGAGTGTAAGTTGTGATGGTGCACATACATCTTTGCAAGATCCTAATTCGATCGAGTTAGCCGTTGAAAACGGAACACAATTGCCGTTCAAAGGATGGATGCGAACTGTTCCAGGGTCTTCAGGGTCTAGGAGACTTACCAAGTGACGGTATCCGATCTTTAGTGCCTCGTAGACACCATTGCCGACCTCACCAGGAGCGGCTTGCCAGGTACCGTATCCCAATTGACTAAAGCGAGGTCAGAACAACGATTCGTCATGAACACAGGCTGGAACCACATACGGGATCTTGTAGCCAGAGTTGAGGGTGACGGTCTTGCCTGAAGACATCCTGAATGATATCTGAGGTCTGAATGCTGGGAGTGAATAACGTGTGGTAGGTGATTTTGTCAAGGAAGGCAGAGTCGCCCTCTTTAAATATCGCATCTCGAGCGCTCTCGGCCATCGTGTCGGCCGGGAGGGTTTATGTATGTCTTGCAGAAATTACTTCAGGACGTGGGATGTCGGACGTATACAGCAAGGCACAGCACCATGTTGGCTGGGCTGGCGGGATAATTACTTGCTCTCGCGACGAAGATGCACCCCGCTATCGTGATTTGGGAGGACCTACCTTGCGGCTGCGCAGTGGTGGGGCGGACCTTTCGGTTGTAATGCCACCGAGACTTCAATGAGCTGACGAGATGCTCCGCTTCTCATATCTTTGCCGCGAGAGAACGAAGTAACACGTTCCTTTCTGCCAAATCCCGAAACAATGTCGATGTAGGCCTAGGCGTATACGTATGCAATGCCCTCTTCTCGACATTTTATCAACGTCCCAGATTGACGACATCTTCAGGCAGAACGATCCTCCTCTTGCTAATCACTTTCGAACGAGCCGTCTTTATCTGCCTGGATGAATTCTGCGTCCGGTCGAAGAAAGACGTGTTTTAGGATGTTATCCTGGATTGGCCCCAACGCTGCCATGTATATGAGATGGTGAGCTGCACTTCAGGTGTCAGTACGAGGGGCGAGAGCTGAAGGTAGACGATGTCTGATCCTTGTTCGTTATTCTGAGGCCACTGAATACCAGCGAGAGGAACCGAAGCGACAAAGCATGGGAGGCTGCTTGCGATATAAGCAAGCATTTGAACATTTCTCATACTAGCAAGTAGCGCCCCGACTGCCGCCGGGGTTATTCGCCGTCAAGTAGTTCTTCAAATGGCAGCATGAACAAAGGACTCACACTGTCAGTAAAGGAGCCAGACGCGTTACCTGCTGAGCCACTAACTACAATAGAAGGCAAGAAGACTAAGTATCATCGGAAAGGTCGAAGACCTAGACGCCTACATCAATACCGAAATCTATATTTTCCCATCCTCTTCACGTTATCGGCTGCAGAGTTCGGTTCATTTTCTTCGTCGAACAATGAGTTGGTTGGATAGTTGTTGATGTGGCAGCGGCGTGGAGAAAGGGCCGGTGATAGCATGGCCGGCGACTAGGGCGGCACCCCGCAGCGCATCTTGAGCTCGACTGGACCGTTATCGCACTCTTCTCCACTCCACGCGCCCTTTGAGGCGATAACATCGGCCTGATCGCGGTCGTCTGAAGTATAACAACGGCGCATCCAAGAGCTTCGACTCAAGGCCATCTTTGATCCATTGCAACTTACACTGCCTACTTACACACAGCTAGACCCCATCGCATCGCATCGCATCGCATCGCATTCCAATATGGCACCCTCCGCTATCCAGGTCGAGCCAGCGCCAGTCGCGCAACCCAAGCAGCTCGTCCCACGATCCAAAGATGACGCGACCAAGGAGTTGACGCCGTTGCAAGCCATCTCGCAGGGCGTCTGCCTCCCCGGCATCCCCCTCTTCTCCTCGTACGATAAGCATCGCGCATGGATACTATCGCACATGGCGGGTGCTTTTCGCGTCTTTGCAAGGCACGGCCTGACCGAAGGCATGTCGGGTCACATCTCGGTGAGAGACCCAGAGCACCCGCACAACTTCTGGACAAACCCGCTCGGAAAGCACTTCGGTCTCCTGAAGGCATCCGATATGGTCCTTGTTGATTATGATGGCAAAGTCGTCGGAGGAAATCAGAGCAGACCTGCAAACGCAGCTGGCTTCCTTATCCACTCGGCAATACATAAGGCGCGCCCAGACGTCAACGCGGCATGCCATTGCCATGGAAAGGCAGGCAAAGCCTGGAGTGCCTTTGCCAAGCCATTGGAGATGCTGAATCAAGACGTATGCTACTTCTACGGCGATGCGCAAGCCGTCTATGATGACTTTGGCGGCGTTGTCCTCGATGAGGCAGAAGGCAAGAGGCTGGCAGCGGCATTGGGACCAAAGGGAAAAGGGTTGGTGCTGCGAAACCACGGGCTATTGGTAAGTCCTCCAGTGCGCGATACCGTGACCGGCATTCAGCTAACACCACACAGACGGTAGGAGGTACTGTCGACGAAGCCGCCTTCTTGTACACCCTCATGGAACGCTCTTGCGATGTCCAGTTGAAGATAGAAGCGGCAGCGGCCAACGGCGTCCCGAAGGTTTACGTCGACGACGATGCAGCGGCATATACATACAAAATGGGGGCCGATGCTGAGAGCCTTTATTGGGAGTTTCAACCTGATCTGGAGTACGAGTACGAGATGAGCAATGGTGCCTTCAAGCATCCCGAATGCGACGAGGTAGTGTGGCCTGGATACTGATTGCTAGGAATGGATTCGTTCACCTCGTACAACGAAGAAACCGAGTAACTGTGCTGCGGTCCACATTAGTTCGCAAACAAAACGTGACACAACCCTAAGGCAATGTAGACTTCTAGGTCATCCATGTTCTGTGGGTGTTCACATGTTTCATGGATTGGTTGTTAAAGTTAGTTGAGTATTGTCGTCGATGCGGAGGAGCCGGATGCCATGTTCTCACACCATCCGGTCTCCTCTCGATATACTCAGCATCGTGCCGTCATGCATCAAGTCACTTCTCTCGACTGCGCGTCCCGCCTCATGTCTAGTACGTACTGAATCCAAGCAGCTCGCTCCCTTGGCAAGTTTGGACACTATACGCGCCAAGGCTGTAGCAGAAACAGCTTGATGACTGAACAGAGAGCTTTCGTCGGCCCGCTTCTGTTTCGTCGACGTATCCGGGTCGACAGCGGAGATTTTCACAGATCCAGCAATGCGCCGCTTTGGCGGTCGTGTTTCCCTGATTGTGGCACGCCTTCGATGAGTAGCGGCGGCGCTGCACGGCGGTATCGATCTGCGTGCAAGCTAACGATGGGTGATGTTGTACAACGTAATGGAAGGGTCTAGGTCTGGGTATTTAGGCGGATCTGTGGGACCTGCAGGAACTACTCCCACGTTCTTTGATCTACACAATCGAACGTTATGTTCGACTTCAGGGTCTGTGACTTCCTGGTCGTCGCATCATGCTTATGCCACGCGTCAAGAGCTCTTAAGCAGCGGAAAGGTTTTGCTTTGACGTTCCCGCGACGGGCCGACTGCTACGTCCGTACTGCGTGTCATCATTTAAGCAACTCGACCTCTCCCGGCCGTTCTTGTCCGCTGAGCTTATTACAGTATACGGTAGTCATGGTTCTCCACGCCAAGTCTCATCTTGTCGGAATCCCCAGCATCAATGCATTGGGTAGAAGCCACGCGACCGTTTCCCGCCAAGATCGCCGGGTTAACTCGAGATAGCAAAGAGCGATCTCGCCCCTGCGCTATCGCCTTTGGTCAACAAGCGTTTCTTGTCGAAAACAGGGTTCATGCTTGGCGTTCGAACTGCTACGAGGAATGGGCTGGATGTTTGGTTTCCAACATACAAGCGCGTGCCGTCTCCCAAGGAAACCAAGTGCATTTCCTAATGGTACTTACTGCGCAAGCAAAGAGGCTGCGCAACGGTAGTGAAAAGATAGGGCACTTGGCGATGGGAGACCTTCCATGGCGCACGAAAAGGGCATGTGTGAAGACTGCTTGGCGGAATTGAAGGACATGGCTGAGACCTTTGCTTGAAGGACTAGGGTAGTCGTTGTGAAGGCGGAGGAACATTCCATAATCCGGCCGCTGGACTATATATAAGATGTCCTCGCACGACGAGCAAGTTTCTCATCACAGCAGCCAATTCAGTCTTCCTACCAAGTCATCCGACACTCCCATCACACAAAGACTAGCACCGTCACCATGCTGTTCCAATCCCTCTTCCTCGCCGCCGCCACTCTAGCGCCCACATCACTCAGCTGTCCCCAACACACCAACGCTAAACGCAATGTACACCTCACTACAAGACAACAAGTGCCTCCAGGCACCAACGTAACCCAGAACGACTGGGCCTACGAAGCATCTTTCAACTGGGGAAAGATCAACCCCGACTACGAGCTCTGCCAGACTGGAACTCAGCAGTCTCCCATTGCACTCTCATTAGGCAACGGACTGGCTTTGAACCACGTGCCCACCTTCAAGTACAACGGCAGCGTTGCCGGCAACTTCTACAACTGGGGCTATGGTCCCGCCTTCACCGTTGCACACGACGAGAAGGCAGCAGAGGAAGACATTGACTGGACCAGCCACCCAAGCTTCACCTACGACAACGAGACCGTTTACCTCAAGGGCTGGCACATCCACGCTCCAGCCGACCATTCCGTCGGTGGCGACCGCAGCAAAGCCGAACTCCATCTCGTCCACGTCGACGCTGAAGGCCACGAAGCCGCCGTTATGGCTATCCGCCTCGACCCTGGTAACTCCAACTCGACTTTCTTCGAGCAACTACCCTCCATGATCGGCTACACCGAGATGGGAGTTGAGGAGCCTACTACTATGGACTTTGCTCCTCTGCTTGAGAGCGTCCTGTACTTCAACGAGTTCTGGACGTACCAGGGTAGCTTGACAAGCCCCCCTTGCACTGAGGGTATCCGTTGGTTCGTTGCTAGGCAAATCCTCTTCACGGGAGTTGATCAGATGAGGGCTATTCTTGGTGCTAGCACTTACTCTGCGAGGGCGGAGCAGGAAGTCTGGCAGCACAGGATCAACGAGTAGAGGGCCGAAGAATATGTTCTTGATGTATGACGAGGAACACGGAGTTGATGCTAGTAGACGGTACATTGCATTGTATAAAAGGTTATGAACGAGCGAGGCGTTGGTGCTGGGGCAGTAGATGGCCCACATTTGGCGGTTATCTTCTACAATTCTTCTTGTATATATATATCTTTATCTCTTTCGGACGCATGAATCAACGAATACATCTCTTTCGTCGAATTCTACCACGCGCAGTGCCCTGCATCGACCCTCAAATCCTACACGTGACATGTCAGCCTCGCAATCCCGTCTTTTTTGATACTAGTCAAAGAATATCAGCTTACAGAACCAGTGACATAACTGCTTCCCTCACTCAGCAAGAACAGCACCGGCGCTCGAAACTCTTCGGGCACCGAAATTCGCCCCAGCATATTCTGTTTCGCCCACTCGTCCGTCAACCCCCTCTTCCGCGCTTCCGCGCTCAGAGGCGTGTCAATGTGACCGGGGCTGATGGTATTCACTCGGATCGGCGGATAAGCTTTTCGTGGCTCTTGGCTGGGATTTGGGTTTGTTGCCGTGACCGTGCTACCGGGAAAAGTGTTCTGTGGGTGACCCCATTCCGCGGCAAGCGATCGAGCAAGTTGATGCACTGCCGCTTTCGAAGCATTGTACGCGGCAGTGTTGATTCCATGGTTAGAAATGTGACCTGAAATCGAGGCGAACAGGACGATACTGCCCGATTGATTGGCGTTGTGCAATTCGTTCGCTACGGCACGGGCGATGAGGAAGGTGCCGGAGATATTAATATCGAGGATTGTACGAAACGTGTCGATGGGGTACGAACAAGCATCGCTTTCGCCGGAGATGGCGGCGCAGGAGACGAGCCCCCGGATCGGATGACGAAGCTTAGCACGGATAGTGTTGAAGGCTGATGTGATGCTGGGTTCATCCTGGACGTCGAGGCGTTGGAATAGCGCATGGGTGTGATTACCTCGCGCAACTTCCTGAATCCGATCTGGTCACAGTTATACAGGAGATCAAATTTGGAAGATTGCAGGCATTGTGTACCCCAGCTTTCGGGAGTGGGGTCGGAGACATCGACAAATACGACATCTGCGCCACTCTCTAGAATCGCTACACCTACGGCCGTACCTACTGCACCGGCACCTCCGGAAACTAGAAGACTGTGTCAGCTCCAGTCCATACGTCGATTGGTAAGCCGTACCTATGATAGTCCGGTCATTCAGCCTAAAAAGATCTTTCGTCGCCATATGAGTAGGTGGAGGATGTGTCATGGCAAGGTACAGAGTTAAAGATTATGTTGATGAGAAGATGGAATGGTTTGGCAGCGCAGTTCAAATGCGTCGAGCAGTTGCTATATTGTGAAGCGGGGTTATGACGTATGTAAAGCTGCAGGATAGGTTGTGCAAGATTCAACGTTGCTGACCATTAGGCCCGTGTCGCGCTTCCCATTGTATACAGACTTTTGTAGTTATGGAATATCAAGATCGATGGGTATAAAAGGGAAATGAGCAGTGTATGATTCCTCTAGCTCTGGATAGGTTCGTCCCATGGATTATATTGTGGTACCGGAAGTACCGGAAGCACCCTTCCATAACAAAGACACCATGTCAAGTTCTATCGCCGTCATCTTTCGGACGCGGAAGGAGCCAGGCTACGTGAGAGCTGGCAAGGTTCCGAATCTTACTCCTAGAACGCGTACCATGGTGTGGCCTTGAAAGCCAACGTCTGTAACATCTCGTGTGAACCGTATCATCGTGCTCGTAGAAGGGCCAACGAGGTTTCGAACTCATTTTGGTGATGTGTGAAAGGAACTTTGCCACGTTGCTGGAGTCCATTTTGTCCAGGCTTCCTCCGAAGGCGGGGCCGACAGCTCTTGCGAAGCGCAAATTGGGTCAAAGGGCGAACACTGAGACTGCGTTGGCTCGCATCTGACATCAGTCACACATGCACCCTCATCTACGTTCGGTGGTACTTCTGGATCGTCTCTGTTTTTGAGCTCGTACTCCCACTCAAGGTGGGTGCCCATAGTTGTCTCGGCGCGATTCGAGAGAGTACTCTTTGTCGCGACGTCTTTCAGGCCACTGAATGGGCGATGTATGAGGCGAAGTAAGTCAAAAACTGCTGCGTGAAGCTCAGATGAACCATGATCAAAGAAGAAGAGGCTGTCACTCGCCAGAGAAGTCGGGGGCGTCGCGAACTCTTCACCATCCCTTGTCTGAGATCTGTAATCTTGCAGCTTCCCCATGTGAGCTGCAAGAATGTTACGAAACCTGCCAGCAAGCGTGTCTTTGATCGCACAGTACTCGAGAACACTAATGCATTTTTCCAGCAGTTTCACGTCGTCAGTGTATGGCTCGTTGTTCAGAGCCCTCTGCGATGCCTGGTAAGCGATCATGACTCCCGCCGTGTAGGCTGTGTAACTGGAATTCTGGGTTAGCATCCTTCGCCACCGTGGCATACGCCTGACTCACATGCAGAGCCAGCAAACTTGTACTACCTTCCCTTCCTGTAGCATTAGACTCATGACAGACGCGTTTGTTTCCGCAGCTTGGTATCCTTCCTCGATAGCCCTTCGTGCTTCTGGTGGAAGAACTACGATGCCAACTGCATCGAGCGGGATGTATGCAATTATTAGCCGCCGAGCAAGCAGCATCATAGCCGAAAGGTAAAAGAGATGAACATAGAATATTACTGGGCGGAATGTGGCCATCAGCGGGCTGCTGTCGCCGCGTAACAGCGCAGCAACTGACATCCAGTCGGGGAGTTGCGCATGGAATCTCGATAATTGCGCGCGAAACTCTAGCGTGACATTTTCCGGTACAGGCGCCTTGCTTGGTAGACGGTGAAGTAAGCTTGCCTTGATGATGGAAACTTTGACGCATTCGCGTCGAATCATGTCCTGGGGCGGCGCGTCTAGTCCATTGAGAGATGAGTGGACGTCGAAGGTTAACGAATCAGAGTTGTAGTCAAGAGATGCGCTCAGCCAGCTATCGGAGTAGTCAGCGACATATCACACATAACTAAAGGCATGCCAAACTGACCATTGCAAGTGGACAAGAGTCATATGCGTGCGACGAATGTCGTCGTAATAGCTTGGGGACCAGTCTGGCGGACATGTTTCGAGATATATTTTGCGGTTGCGAGGAAGGCTCAGACCAAGTTCTGAAAGTCATCAGTGGCGTATTTCTCGTGAGTATACCCAAGTGTGACTCGTACCAATGTAAGCCAGAGCAACTGTCGCCTTGACGACGATGTTATACATGCCAAGCAGCGCGCAAACATTCATGGCTCGAAGCGGATCGTAGAGAATCGCAGAGTCCAGGCCATGTTTGGCGACTGCGTAGAAGTAATCGGCAAGCTCGGGAGGCGGTGCCTTTGTTGGGTCGGCTAGCTGTGAATGTATAACACCGATAGAGGCCATACCCGCAATTTCTGCGGCATAAGTACGAATTTCGATTGTACTTCCGTTGCTGAACATGTGTCCGAGTGGCATGTTCTCGTTTCCGGAGGCTTTGATTGCTTCGATGCATGCTTGGACGTCGTTCCTATTCATAATGTAAAAGAGTGCTCCCACACAGTTAAAGAACATCTCTAATGGGCCGTGGACGTTGGAAACACTTGCGTTTTCGTGGTTTGGAGCAAGCAGAGTGATGCCCGTGACTTCGGTCTGGCCCTTTCGAACAGTAGAAAATCGGGGATGATCCATTATCTCAGGGACGGAAAGCATTGTCGATGAGGGAGAATCCGTAAATGTCGGTGGTGAATCGTTCTTACCAACTTTGGTCTCAGATGCAGGCCCAGACTCGGAAGAATTGCGACGGCCCATTTCGAAGTTCTTGAAGATGACTCCCAGATCGTCACCCTGGGTCGCTCGCAGGTGCTGCAGCAAGGCCGTGGCTTTGTCAGGTGAAGCCGTCTGTAGGAACCACAAAACTTCATACATCGAACTTTTATCGTCCTCCAGTTCTTCAATCTTTCTTTTTTGCGCCTGAATGAGGGGTGGGTCGTATCCGCATTGTGAATTTCTCTCCGAGCAAGAGCGACATGTCGGTCTGCCCCCGTCACACTGTCGTGTGTCAGCTTCGACTTCACGGAATTGCTGTCGTTACTAGCAAAGAATTCGGTGGAAGACCTTGGTGCGTCGGCCACGGCAGGGCAGACATGCGACCGTCACGCGTGACGGCCTGCGACTGGTAGGAGTTGCTCTACTAACAGCGGCGGCAGCAGCCAAGTCTTGTGGACGCGGCGCGATATCTCTGAGAGAAGACGATGACATTCCTAACAACCGGGAGTGCGAGAGCTTGGATCAAAGTACAAGCTAAAGGTGCGGTCTGCTCCTTATTGGCGGATAGGCCAATGTGCTATAAGTGATGAAGCAACCAACTTTGGATGCCTCGAGTGGTCGGCGGATGCAGCGGCATGGCCAGTGCACTCTGTGCGTGGCAGGTACGTTAGCCATGACGTCAGACCTTATGCAAACGCTGACTCCATGCATTGAATTCGACGCAATTTCTATGCATACGTGTCTGAATGGAGTTCATTGCAGTTTGATGGCTTCGTGATTATCCAGTCTGGTGGGTCTTGCCGAGAAAAAGGCCGACTGCACCTTTTGTATCCACTGCCCGCGCAACTCACGCACGCACCATCAACGGCAATTGTCACACATCCGTAATTCGCAGTCGCCATACGGGCAAGACTCGATATCTGATGACTTTTGAACTGCCCATGGGCATCTCTGTGATATTATGATCACTATGAGGCCTTGTTCAGCAGGGCCTTTTGAACAGTGATTGTTGATTAGTGAGCACGGCTTGCGATCTGCTCAGGTTGGCACCAGAAGCATCTTGAAGGCATACGTTCGACAAGACTTCCACGCATTATGGACGTCAGATTTTACGGGAAAATATGCGACTTCGCAAGTTATACGCTTAAAGCTCCAAGGATATGTTCCTAATGAGGATCAGCATAGCCACGTCGAACGCCATACAGTCCGACTGGTATTTGTATGACTCAAAGAAATCTCCACTATCGTGCAACCTTTTCCCACGCAATCACGCGTAGAGAGCGTAAGCTTTCCCCAGACAAAGGGACGCAATTTCTCCGTTTGTACAAATGTTGGCAGAAGGATCGTTAGGGAATCCCCGCAATGGCTGTTCATGAAACCGGTGACATCATAGCTGCATGCGTAGGACTGCTCGGTAGCTACAGCATTGTTAGCATACCTGATACTGACCAAGTCGACACCAGAGATCGTGGCATCTTACCTACATATATGATCACAGAAGCCTTGGATTAGCGAGGAATTGTAGCCCTGGGAGGCTGCGCCGCGATGATACTGCACACCGAGATACGTTGGAGTTCAACTGAGTCAACGAACGCCCTTCACATATCTAGTAACGAGTGGTAGGTGCAAACGCTGCTCAGACACATCAGGCCCAAGCAGTTCAGGTGTTTGACTCCACGTATTCTTCTTACACAACTGTTGCCTGTATTCGACACCACAACCAATGGCATCTGTATCTTGATAATGATATAACTGTTTGTACAATAACTCCAGCGCTGGAGTCGCGACACGTTGAAGCCGCCAACATGGCCAAGGGCGCAATACTCTCACCCAATCCCGCTTCACCGGCTTCCAGCGCCTGTCAAACACTCCACGATAAGAAATATGCCCAGCCATATTGGCCTAAACTCGGTACCAAAGACGACATTCCGACATGGCTCCAAGATAACGACTTCATCATCACGGGACATCCAATGCCGACTCATTCGTATAAACGATCCTTTCGGCTGTGGCGTTGCCTTCATATGGAAACGATGAATATCTGGACCCACCTTCTTGGGAGTACCGCGTTCGTTGGGACTGGCATCGGGTTACACACACTTGCTATCTCGACCAAGCTTGACCTGAGCACAGGCGACAAATTCGCCTTCAGTATTTCCTTAAGCGCAGCAGCTCTCTGCTTTGGGCTCAGCACAACGTTCCACACACTTCGGAGTCACTCCTACAATATTCACCATCTCTGGGGCCGTTTCGACATCTTCGGCATCTGTCTCTTAGCTATGGGCGGTGGATCATCGGCCAGCTATTATGCCGTTCGCTGTGATCCAGTGGCTCAACGGGTATATTGGTGTCTCAATGGCGGCGCCGCTATCGCTGCTGCTGCCATGCTGTTCAATAGTGGCGGCGGTGGAGACAAGATGAGAACGCTTCGTGGCAGTATCTTCAGTGCGCTCGCTCTTACAGCAATGCTCCCAATATTCCATGGCGTCGGCAAGCTTGGATGGAGTCGTGCGTGTGCTGAGATCGGCGCTCAGTATTATCTTTGCGAGATCTTGGTCCTTGTGCTCGGGGTTTCATGTTTCGTCGATAGGTTTCCAGAGAGACTGAGCCCAGGCTCGTTCGATATTTGGGGCCACTCTCACCAGATACATCATGTTTGCGCTGTAGTTGGCCAGGCTTGCCATATAGCCGCTCTTGTCGCCGGCTACAAATTCCGTAACGCGCATCCAACTTGTTGATCGAGAGAGGCTGTTGGTGCCGGCGCAATGAGTAATGCAATGGCGGATAGCACTATCGTTGAATGCAACAAGAAATTATACTGAACGGCGTATAGTAGTTGCAGCAACTGTACGATAGAGTAAGGAATATCAACCGACGGTAGGTGGGTATCGAAGAGATGTTTCCCATGTGCAGTGACGAGTATGGCCGGAGAAGGGGCGACGGGCAGGAGTAAGCGAAGCGTTCCTGGGACGCGGCGCATCACCGACTGCCGCCTGCGCAGCAGCAGCAGTCAACCTTCGCCCAATTCCCATCCAATATGTCGGCCTCGACCGAATCGAGCGCAAGCAATGTAGATTCTCACAGCGAAGACGCGCCCCGCGTTGAAGCGCTCTTCCTCATCAAGTTCGACAAGAAAGTTGGGTACGTCATGCGACGCTGGACAGCCGGAGTACCTCAGGGAGCTATGCGCTGATCACTCACAGCTATACAATCGCCTGGAAGCGCACAACGACACCGGATATCACCCTCGACAACGCCGTTGAATACAAATCGCTACCCTCGGGTCTGCACTCAGTGCAGAATGACCTCGTCTACTTTACCCACGATGGCTATGCCGGGCTCAGCGCCTTCGCAAAGGGCGACGCGAGCGCAGAGGATCGCAATGCCACGTTCGTTTCCGTGGGTATCCTAATTCAGAAGGAGGGCAGATTTGGGAGGCTAGGAAGGAGCTGGCTACTGGCCGGCCGCTTGGAGAAATTGGCTGCAGCTCTGGCGGACGACCCGGAAGCTGTGACGCCGCTGGACGAGTTCTGGCAGGAGCAGGTCTCGAGACATGGCAAAGGCGACACCACCTCAGAAGCCGGAGAGGCGAAAGGTCACAGCAGAGCGCGCGCCATCTCCACCGTGAGCGCTGTCATCAAAGACGAGGAGAGCCTGCCGGACTACCACCCGGCCTTATCTATACAACGCTTCCTCGACGTATTCGGGCCATTGGTCTTCCGCCTGCTTCAAGCGGCCCTGCTGAGGAAACGCATCCTCTTCGTGGGTGTCCCGCCGGTCAGGACTGCCTGCGAGTTTGGTACGTCTGGGATCTTGTCATTGGTTATCTTCCAGCTAACATGCCAGTCTACAATCTGTCTGTCCTGTCTAGCATATCGCCTCGCGACACCGAACGTTTGCCTCCAGAGACGGAAAACCTCCTCCGCCTACCCACCCTCTTCTCCGTCGGCGTACACGACATACCTCTCCTCGACGACCTTCGCAAGCCCAAACACGGCGGACACACACCGGACCTCGAGCCATCAGAGGGCTGGGCGGCGTGCACAACGGACGAAATCATTGTCACAAAGACGCAGCTCTACGACATCATCGTCGAATTACCACCCAGTTACGATGCGCCCCCACAAGAACGCCGCTGGCCGCGGATACGAACGAGCGATGGCAGTTTGATCAAGGCTAGCCAGCGGGATGTTGCGCGCTACAAGCTTTTGCACAAGGAGCTTTTCAAGCAGCGCACGAGATCGGAAACATCGCCCGAGCCGTATACGGACGACGAGAACGACGACACTGCTCCCCTGCTGTCACGCGACGAGGTCGATACCAAACGCGCCGACGACGACTTCAACGAAGCATACGACGACACGGTGGTAGAACCAACAACGTGGTCGAGGCTTGCATATATGGGCTACATGTGGTGGGCTTCGGCTGGCGAGAGAGATGCATACACGACAGCCGAGCGGGAGACGGACCGCGAGCTGATTGGCGACCTCTCCGCCTACTCACAGTCGTTGGAGACAGCGATAATTGCCTACTTCCACCGACAGTCTTCGCTGCTCATACGAACGCTATCGCAGATCATCGAGGCGGATACACAAGGCGAAAGAGGAGACGACGACGATAATGACAGCGATGCATTGATTGTTGACAGAGACGACCTGTCGCGAATGGGGCTGGACACCTGGTCAGAGGCTGATCGCGCCTTTGTGCAGGAATTTGGTAGTCTGTACTTTGGACGTACTGTTGGGGTCAAGGGCAGTGAAGTGGAGTGCTGTGGTTTGCGGGTGCCAATCTTCTAGCTGGGCTGGGAGCGTTTAGCTAGCCACAAACCGGCAGGTTCCCGGTTGTGTGGAGGGCTTCAACAGTGAACACAGACTGTTGTGGTGTAGGTTAATGACAGTCTACTTGTCGCGGGCAACGTTGGAATCCGCTCCATCGCATTAGCG